TTTTTTTCCACTAATCTTAATTAATATGGAGGAGAAGAATCATATTTTTTAATCATGGAATTAAAAGGTCGGTAATTAGGGTTTTTTAAATTAATGCGATGGAAAAGAATCATTGGATCACTTATACTTTTTGTATTAATATATTTTTAAATTTATAGAAAGATCGCGGAGAAAATTATAGGTTTGTAGAAATCCATCAACCTATATAATTTATATTTCATGTTTAAGTAATACGCCTCATAAAAATCAAGTCATTTTAAAAATCCACATTGTAGAATTGACAAAAATTTCATTCGAACCCGTGCGTGGCACGGGTAAAAAAACTAATACTTTTTATAGGAAAAACACTTGTTTTAAAAGAATTTTACAAATTTTAATTTTTTTAGGCTAAAAATACTTTTATATTTAAAAAGACTATTTTTGTGCATAAAAATGTTAAGATATACTTAAGGGAGATTTTTGGATTTAATTGGGTGAGAGTTGGGCCAAATTGATACCCAAATAGGTAAAACTTGAACCCAAAGTCACATTTTGGGCATTAAACCAAAAAAAAGGAAATTAAAAATATAAGAGGAGATGAGTAAACATTATAGAAATCACCATAAATACTAAATAGGACTAAAACATAGAGAAAAGTACTAAAATATGACTTTCATGTTTTTTTGGAAATAGGACTTTGCACTGTGGTAATGTGATTTTGCACAGTGGTAACGTGGCATACATTTGCACATTACTATACTTTTTTGGTAATGTATATGACCATGTTTGGCAATGTAAGTTTTTTTTAGGAATAAAAACATGAGAGTCCTATTTTGCTGTAATTTTAATGTTTTAGTGTCTTTCTCTCTTTTCTCCCTAAGGCTCCATTCCGTTCAACTTATTTTTTTTGATCTGATCTGATTTTTTGTAGTTTTGATTTGATTTGATTGGATCTGATCTGATCTGATATGATCTGGTCTAATGTGATTACTTATGATTTGATTTAAAATTCAAATCAATAATTTGAGTTGACTTTATAATAACGTTTTGAAAATTGTAGTGATAATTCATATTATAATATAATCAATATTTTTTAGTTTATAATTATTTTTTAATAAAATAAAATTAGTTAATTCATATCTTAGAATAATCATTCATATTATAATGTAATAATATTTTTTATTTTATGATTAATTTTTTGTGAAATAAGAATATTGATTTAATATTTTAATAATTAGTTCATATATACATTAGAATAAATATTTAATTTATATATACATTAAAAAGTAATTAAATTTAGAATATCAATATATAGAATAGATAGTATTTTTATTAAAATATCTCATCCTTATAAAAGATCAAAACTTTAGAAACTCAAATTACTGGTATCAATAAAAATGTATTTTAAAAGTAAAATTAGATTGAAATTTTCAATGTATTTTAAAAATAATTTTTCTGACGTCTAATAATTAAGGATTACAATCTCAGTTTTCTATTTAACTTGTTTCTAAAGTTTATTCTTTTTCATTTTTAAGAATAATAATAATAATAATCATGATAATAATAATAATACTAATAATAATTCTAGATGAGATCTGATGATTCGATCTGATCTGGTTTGATATCTGAGAATAAGAAAAACTAGTATTTTTACCCGTGCGACGCACGGGGTCGAACAAAATTTTTGTCGATTCCAATTTTTTTTCAATGTAATATATTTTCCGGGATCAAATAAAATATATTTCTAACACGATTTTTAATCAATGAACAACGACAAAGTAGAATAAATAGTATTTGAGGAACTGGAAGTGTACTCGAAAAAATCTTTTTTAATTCTAATTTTTTTGAAAGACTTTAGGGTACACAACATCTTTGGTATGGTTGTAAGGATTTCCATTATCATCTAGAACCAATATTTTTAATTATGTCTTTGCCTTCACTCGTGAAAAAGTAACATAAAGCTAACCATGAGTAAATACTGAATTGGTTAAAAATAATACGGAGTACAACAAAAGACAAATGTTTGACCTAGACTTTTGTTAATAGTCATAACAAAATATAATAATATTAAGAATTGTCTTCTCTAGAATTTCAAGGGTAGTCCTGAATTAAATGATACCAAATTCATTCGGGGTATATAAATCTTTTTCCCAACTGATTTCCCAAAACGTCAATTGCAATGATAATGTTCTTTCTCAACTTCTCAACGATTAATCTTCTTCCATTACACAATCCAGATATTTGGTCAATGTTCTTTAATGACATAATCGGTATCCTATTTTTAAAAATTATTTTGTGGTTTAGGATCCCGGAACATTTGATTTTATTAAAAAAACTAAAGTGTTATCCAATTGTTAACTTTGCATGAAGAATAAAAAATTAAGTACTCTTTTTCACCTCCTAGAATAAGGGATAGGACAAATTCATTTACCATTCAACAAACTCGAGCGTGAGTGATAATACTCCACTATCCTTAAAAAAAATAATTTTTCATGTTCTCTAGTAGGTTCGGATAAGTGAATTCCATTGTTCTCTTGAGGGGATAACTTATTTCAAGAATCAAGAATTCAGGCGGGATTTCAACGTGAGCAATTCCATTGATCACTTATCTAAGTTTTCCATCTTCGACTTTGATTATCCAATCAGAAAAAACTTCTGTGTCACTATCTGTGCAAGAGAGTGTAGATTAATGCAATCTCATATTTTTGGTCAACGTATAAATTTTACAATACAACCACATTTGTGAGGAATTGGCGGTAGCACCTACAATTTCCACTCTCAAAGCTATGAGTAAAACTGAAAGAATTTGGATAAAATCACTTTTGAGTACAATTGTTTTTCCTCCGAATGGTTAATTTATGAAGTTATTATTAGATATACTCATTACATCTCTCATTGTGCAAATTCATCTTCTCAAAAGAAAATATATTCATCGTAGATGATAATTCCCGTATGATTATACTTGTTGGATTGGGTCTACTTTCGGGCTCTGTTGTTTGATGGCATACAATGAGCACTCAGTTGGCACCAAAGGGATTAAAAATTTCGAGTCTCCTTCCCCTAGGAAAAATCGATGCTACAATGTAGTTGGATGTGACATTCAGGACAACATTACCGTTTGACCTTAGAAAAGCAGATAATGATTTCTAAAGAAATATTTTTCCAGTTCCACCGTAACCATGCACAAAAAAGAACTCTCTCTTTCAGCTATCACGACTTCCATTATTTCATTAGATATATTCCACTGATATTCATTCATCATAGATAAATATTCTAAGATCAAATGACAACTTTTCATTGTCATAATTTAACTTCTCTACCAAGAAATTATTTTGATATCTATTAAGTTGATTGTCATCTCCAAATGGCATGCCACTGAATTACTTTAAAGACCGTCCATTCCAAATAAGCAACTCTTCAATCTCAATTAGACATAAATTCTTTAGGTCTTCTTGGGAGATTATAAGCTCTGCAAAAAAATATTTATTTGTTTCTATGCAGTACTCAATTAAAGAGTTTTGTTTTCATATAATGCATTTCAGATGGATTGATAGGTTTAAAAACTATCTTTATATTCAAGTAACTTGATTCCACAATATTCACATTCGGTCAAATAAATTTCATTCAACAGGAGTTCCTATTTTTTTAAAAAAAACAATTTGTGGGTGACTCATGATACTTGGACGAACAGCATTCTTAGCATATTCCCAAATCCTAACTTAGCAACATCTTTAATACCTTCAATAAGTTATTTATCATCGGTTTATAACCTCAATGCTTCACATGCTTCTATGAATGCGTTATGTAGAACATTGTTAATTCTTCTCAAGCTCTTATAACTTATACATCCTCGCTAGACAGTTAATACTATTCTCAAGTTGTATAACTCTCTGGTTTCTGGAAGCACATATTGTAGCCTGCCCATTGATGGTGGTTTCTGGAAGCACATATTGTAGTCTCCCTATTGACGGTCTTTGTTGCATCTGACCAAAACCGCACTTTGTGGTTGTACACAAAAAGATCTGGAAATTCTGGAAATTCTTTGCACACGTCAAATTTTATCCCGCATCATACTATGTATTGAAAATCATCCAAGCTTCAAACATTGAAGCTTTGACATATTTTTTCGAAAACATCTTTTAGATTTTGTTGATCTCTAAAGGTTGCAAATTTTAGTCCTGGGAGATGGAATTTCAACATTGAGTGTGTCCACCGTACCATATTAATTTACGTAGTACATAATAATTTATACATATAGTTAGTTAATACACAAAGATAATTGTTTTATTACCATGCTCAAAGAAATTAAAAACATGTGTTATTGAAGATAGATCAATTCTCTTCTGTCTTTTATGCACTTAAAAGCACGATTAATTGTGTAATTATTCTCAGATTGGAGAATTGTATAGATTTTTTTGGGGAAAAATTACTGGAAAAATTAAATATTTAATTCAGAATAATAAAAATATCATTTGTCAAATCACAGAGCACATTCTTTCTCGAACGTGTTCAATGAGGCGAGGTTATAGCCGATGACGATCTCTCTTCTTCTGTATCTGTAAAAACTATCATAAAACAAATATTGTAAATATTTTTATCTAAAAATTTTAAACATAAAAAATTTCTATTATCCACTAATATTTGTTACATTGCTTTTGACGGTCAGATGAATGAATAAGCAAGAATATTACTTATTTATATTATTTTGACATAAATATAAAAATAAGCATGTTTTTTATTTTCAAGAATTTTAATTAATAGTAATTACACTTATAAAAATTAATATTATACCATAAATATTTCGATTAGGAACACCAATTAATAATTAATTTCTCACACATAAATACTCACATACTAAGTCTTCAACATTTCAAAATTTATTAATGGAAAATAGTAATTTTGTGGCACACATCTTTAAATTTTTACAAAGTTTGTAATAGAAAATAAGAATTTAAAAATAGAATTTACTAATTTTAAAATGGAACATACTTTTTATTTAACTTAGTATTTTTTAAATATATACCGAATAAAATTATTACTTTATTAAATAAAAATGCCCATTAAAATCCCTTTTCTTTTATATATCTATTTCTGTTTTTTCAAAGTTTGAAAATATCTCCAATTAGTATTGATTCAAAGTAAAAATAAATATTCGTATGTAATTTCTTTTAGTTTTACCAATTTATCCGTTTTTAGAATAAATTTATTCTTTTGATTATGATTTTTGAATATGAGTTCTTTTTTCAATTACAAAATATATTATTTAATTTAAATATTTTCCGAAAAAAAATTAAGTTATAAAAGTTTTAAATGCGATTATGTTGAGAAATTTGTGTGTAACAAATACAAAATTTAGTTTTCATAGAATAAGTTTTTTTGTTAATTAATTCTTTACATATAACTTGATGACATGGCGTGCTGACATGTCAAAAAAATTGCCCAATAAGCACGCCACATGTCACAATTCTAGAAGCCTAACTCTCAAATTTTATACTTCCTCCGGCCCTGAGTGTTTGTCTACTTTCATTTTTGCACACCATCCAATGCACTTCTTTAATCCATTTTATCTTATAATTTGTATATTAAAAAATTATATATTAATAATTTATATGTTAAGACGAATCAAACAAGATCACACATGACTAATTTTAGGCTTACACATTGAGAGAATTTGATAAGTCAAAGTGCTTAGATGAACAGTTCCAAAAGTCAAAAGTGGAAACACTCCGGAGGGACGGACCAAGCAAAGATAGATGAATTCAACTCGCCTAAGCATTATCACCCATCCCGTTCATACGACCGTAGTTTTAAGGCGAAGAGGGAGAGAGACGAGGGTTTCTCGCCGGTAACGCCATCATCGCCGGCGTTTACAGGCGAGTCTGGTTAGACGCACAGCGGAAAAAGCGAGAGGACGACGAGGGCTTTCAACCACCGTGCATCACGCGTCCTAGGGTTTGCATCTCTACGTCTAGGGCTCTCGAAATTCAGAGGTAAACAGCTCCAATCCTTCGATTTTAGCCTTGTAACGTTTAATCTAAGTTTTATACTGAGAATTTGGAGTTTTGGTGTTTGAAATCTGAATTTGTTGGCTGAAATTACTGTTTGTTAGTCCCTGTTGAAGTCGAGAAGCTGTAGGTTGCACTTTGGTTTGATTTTTGGAGCTTTAATTCTGTTCATTAGCTTTTTACTCCTTATCTCAGTCTGAAAATGAATTTTGGAATCCTTAAAAACTGTTTGAATGATTTAGAATCTGAAATGAGTGAGTAAAACTTTACTCGATCTGATGTGTGGGTTATGAAGTGAATTCTTTACCAAAGAAATTCATAAACACTCCAAACAGGGACATTGGTAAGACTCTAGGATTGCGGCGACCATTTATTTTAGGTTCTTCTCTTAAATTCCTCGCTGGTGCGGAGTTTGAGAGGAGTCAAGGCCATAGCAAATTGAGATTAATGCACTTTGTGACTTATAAAATAGGGGCTACTGGTCTCTAGTTTGTAAGTTATAGGGTAGAGTCTGAATTAATGCTGGGTTAACTAAGGCTATTGACTTAAAAGTGTGGTGGGGGAAATTAGTTAGCACTTTGGTGCTAGTTTTCCGCAACCTTGGTCCTTGTTATGTTCTTACAAACTTGAGAATTAATGATGTGGTCAAGGATAGTTTCATAAATTCAACATCAAACCAAGTTGCTTTTTCAACAAAGAAACAACCCTTCTTTCCTCTCTATCTCATGTTTTGACCTAAATCACATGCAAAGGAAATTTAAAGTTACTTGAGTTTAATTTTATTTTTAATCTGTTTTGTTACATACTTTTCAAATACCAAGCCATACCCCCCCTTACTATTATTATTATTATTATTATTATTATTACTACTACTAATTTTATTATTACTATTACTATTATTATGATTACTATTATTAATATTATTATTATTATTATTATCATTATTACTAATATTATTATTACTTTTACTATTATTATCATTAATATTTCTATTATTATTATTATTTAAAAAAGTTTCAAAAAATATGTGGGAGAAATCATTTAAAAAATTTGGTTATCTAGGGTCCACTGTTTATCCAACAAAATACGGGAGAATTAGTTGAAAGCGGGGGGTGAAATGGCAAGTGATAATCGATTTTAGAGCAAAATTTCAATTATCGACAAGTCATCTTCTACAATTGTTTCCAAGGATCTGCATCTGTACTGTATTCCGCTGGTAAAAGGTAAGTCATTATTGATTTTAGAGAATCTCTTTTGAAGCATCTCCATTTCCATTTAAGATCCCGTTCGAAGCATCTCCATTTCCATTCAAGATACGGATTATATCAACTACAAATTCAGCTTTAGTGATTATTGATTTTATAGATCGCCATTGTTTGTTGATTTTATAGATCACCTCCATTTTAGATTCGAACTATCATCATTGTTTTTTTGTTTGTGATTTTAGTTTCTCCATATTAGATTCGGGTCCATTTTTGTGATTTTAGTTTTCTCCATTTTAGAAATTTTGCAGGTTTCATTTTAGATTCGAACTATCATCATTGTTTTTTGTGATTTTAATTTCTCTATTTTAGATTCGGATTGGTATTCTCAGTTTACTGTTTCATTTTGGGCTTTCACACATATACATGAAAGGACTTAAACTGCTACCCCTATTCAGACAAGTGATGCATAAGCTCAGCGCTGCTAACGAAACCTGCAAAATTTCCCATGTTTTCGACAAGCCCACATCCATGTTTGAAACCAAGAATGAAGATGAGGAAACACCATTAGAGAAACCCCTGCATCCTCGGAATTGATGTCGGAACCAAGTTTGATGGTTTCGCGTCCTCCACCGCGGGCCCCCCAAACCCGATTGTTCACCTCTCGAGTAAATTGCGATTTACGTTTTTATATCATTCTCTATTAAACATCTTAATGGAAAAGCATTTTTTAAAAGATAAACATTACTACCTAGGACATTGATAATCGACAGCACGACATGGGAGAAAGGGACTGGTCTGTCACCACGTAAAGCCCACATGAAGGCCGTTGCTGAGTTGGTAATTGCTTACCATGTTTATTTTCTTGTTTTATAACATCTTACAAAACATTGTCTAATCTGTTACACTTATACATTGTCTAATCTGCTACACTTATTTTTGGTGCAGATAAAAAAGGAGAACGTGCAAGCTATCATTTTCGGATATCCAACCGGAAAGCCTAATATGTTACTTGTCTATTTCATATACATATACACACATATATGTGGGAGTGGGCGTGTGTGTGTCTAGAATACTGCTTTTATCACTAATACTTCTTAATTGATTAAGGCCCTGTTCCGTTCAATTTATGTTTTCTGCTTTTTTCTTATTCTTATCAAAATCCTATCAGATCATACCAGATCTAATCAGATCTGATGAGATCTGATCCGGTCTGATTAGATCTGATCTGGTATGATCTGGTCTGATTTTAATAAGAATAAGAAAAAAGCAGAAAAAATAAGTTGAACGGAACATGGAATTAATCAATTAAGAAATATTAGTGATAAAAGCAGTATTCTAGACAGACACACACCCACTCCCACATATATTTATATGAATTAGACAAGTACCAAATCAGGATTTCCGGTTGGATATCTGAAAATAATATCTTGCACGTTCTCCTTTTTTATCTGCACCGAAAATAAGTGTAACAGATTAGACAATGTTTTGTAAGATGTTATAAAACAAGAAAATAAACAGAGTAAGCAATTACCAACTCAGCAACAGCCTTCATGTGGGGTTCACGTGGTGACACACCAGTTCTTTTCTCCCATGTTGTGCTGTCGATTATCAATATCCTAGGTAGTAATGTTTATATTTTAAAAAATGCTTTTCCATTAAGATGTTTAATAGAGAATGATATAAAAACGTAAATCGCAGTTTACTCGAGGAATTGAACAATCGGGTTTGGGGGCCGCGGTGGAGGACGCGAAACCAACAAACTTGGTTCCGACATCGATTCCGTTCTCTGATGGTGTTTCTTCTTCTTCATTCTTGGTTTCAGACATGGATGTGGGCTTATCCAAAACGTGAGAAATTTTGCAGGTTTCGTTAGCAGCACCAAGCTTTTGCATCACTTGTCTGAATAGGGGTAGCAGTTTAAGTCCTTTCATCTATATGTGTGAAAGCCCAAAATTAAACAATAAACTGAAAATACCAATCCGAATCTAAAATAGAGAAACTAAAATCACAAAAAACAATGATGATAATCCGAATCTAAAATGGAACCTGCAAAATTATGCAGGTCTAATACCAATCCGAATCTAAAATAGAGAAAAACTAAAATTACAAAAAACAATGATGATAATCCGAATATAAAATGAAACCTGCAAAATTTTTTACAGGTCTAATACCAATCCGAATCTAAAATGGAGAAACTAAATCACAAAAAAAAATGATGATAGTCCGAATCTAAAATGAAACCAGCAAAATTTCTAAAATGGAGAAACTAAAATCACAAAAATGGATCCGAATCTAATATTGAGAAACTAAAATCACAAACAAAAAAACAATGATGATAGTCTGAATCTAAAATGGAGGTGATCTATAAAATCAACAAACAATGACGATCTATAAAATTAATAATCACTAAAGCTGAATTTGTAGTTGAAATAATCCGGATCTTGAATGGAAATGGAGATTCTTCGAATCGGATCTTAAATGGAAATGGAGATGCTTCGAAAGAGATCCTCTAAAATCACTAATGACTTACCTTTTACCAGCAAAATACAGTACGAATGCAGATCCTTGGAAACAATTGGAGAAGATGACTTGCCGCTGATTGAAATTTTGCTCTAAAATCGATTATCACTTGACATTTCACCCCCTGCTTTCAACTAATTCTCCCGTATTTTGTTGGATAAACGGTGGACCCTAGATAACCAATTTTTTTAAATGATTTCTCCCACATGTTTTTTAAAACTTCTTTTAAATAAAAAAAATTGTGTCAAAATACACTTTGAGAGTGTGCTTTGTTAAAAGAACCAAATTTTTTACATGCTTGACTTCAAATTTGATTTTTCTAAAAATTGATTTAAACTATTTTAGGAGCATTTGGTAGGGATGTTGGCGCGGGGTAGGGGTGGGGGTAGATGGCAGGCCAGTGACGGTGGACGGTGGAGTAGGGGATAGCCTCCCCCAACCAAATGGACCCTGAGTCAATCCCCTTGTATGTTCTCGCACGCGCACTTATGCATGAAGCCTAAAAACGAAAACAATGCACTACTTAACTGTGCGGGTAGCAGCACTCCAACAACGACCATTGTCGCTGCCACCGCCACCTTTATCATCACCATCACCGGCTTCATAACCACCCACAATATACTTGCTTTTTCTTCAATTTTGCATTTCATTGTTTTAGTGCAACATTGCCGACCATTACACTATTTCCATTCTTCTCTTTGCGCATCTCCCAGCGCCCTTCTTTTTGTCGGGATGACTCCTCCATCTCGCTCTCTCTCTCTCTCTCTCTCTCTCTCCCTCCCTACTTTTCTCTCTTTCTCTACAAGAATATTAATACCCCGGAGTAACAATTAGGCAACAAGTATTTCCACTACAACCTTTCTAGTGTCTTAGGTGTTCTACTTTGGTTATTAGTATCGTGATTTCGTTATTTATCCTATACTTAGTCTAAAACTCTAAGCTAATCCATATAATTTAAATCATCACCATCTTTTTTCTTGTCTTAACCTTTTTGATCATCTATATCCAAACGTCTCTAAGAATTATTGAAATAAAGAGAGTAAACCAAACACAAGCAGTACACGAAAAGTTAAGAGAACATGTCAAATTTGACGTAATGGCAAAGACTTAATACTTGAGAGTTTTTACAAAAAATCAAAAGAAAATACAGGCAACATATTGAAAGAGGTCGATCAAGCGCTGGTGATGGGGACTCCGCCTGCCTTTTGGTTGCTGATTGGGTAGCTTCCCCTCCTTGATTGTCCTGGTGGCCTTGGTTGCCCGGGCTTGTCTCTGCGTTTTCCTCTTCACCAGAATCTTCCTCCTCTATGTAGGGAGTGGGATCTAATTCCTTAATGTCATCACAAAGAGGGGGAAGGCCGAAGTCAGGGAGGGAAGTCCCCTTCAGAAGCAGGGCCAGCTTGCGACGAAAGACCTGTTGGGCCTAGAAGAGTCCTAACCGATAGAGAACCATCGACTGTTGGACCAGCAAGTCTTTCCCAGGACGGATCGCGACCCACGTGGGGACCAGCTTGTCCATCTGCTCCATAGCAGTCACACGGAACTCTAGAAAAGCCTTGAAGGTCTCAACTGCTCAAGGCGGCGGACCAGGTCGTGCCTCTTGGCCTCTTGCTCGGCCACCAGGTGCGTATGTGCAGGTTGCGATTCTCCCTCTCGAGGTTGGAGCTGCGGGTCCTTTCCTCCAGAAGCTCCTTCGTGAGGTGGTCGGTCTCGTCCCGTAGCTTTTTCTTCTCAGCCTCAACTGCTTCCTTCACCTCGTCCAAAGCGGACTGGTGGGTGTTCATTCGGCGGGCGAGCTCGAACACCCCAGGGCGGCCTACACCAAAGTTAGGGAAATTAAAGACACAAAACAAACATGGTGGGTGGAAAAAGAAATGGTCAAAGCAAATACCTGGTCGAACTTCAAAAGGATCATGTCGGTCAAATCGTGACTGGAGCTAGCAGTAAGCCAGGCCTGGTCGGCGGAAGGGAGCGTGATCGTCGTCTCCACGAGAAACTCCTTTAAGCCGGAGGAGGGACGATGGGGGATGCTGAACTTCGTCGAGCCACTTTCTGTCTCCATCTCAAAAGTCATGGGGAGGTCGATCCGAAGACTCACCTCTGGTCTTTCCCAGCAGATTCCCCCCAGGGACCTTTGCCTTTGCCTGTGACGGGGAGTTGACAACCATCGCCCCCGACTCCGCCGCGGGAGTCGGTTCTCCTTGATCTTCCACGTCGATCACCACCTTGGAAGTGATCCTCGTGGCTCGAGGACAGACGATGCTCATTGCCATGGGGAGCTACGTTCTTTTTCTCTTCTTCTTTTTGGTCTACTTTGAGATGGCGCAGCAGCAGCATGTCATCCTCGGCTTCTCCTTTTGGCTCGACTGGAATATATAAAATGGTCAGTGTGCAATGGGTAGCAGACAAAAGGATTAACGTAAAGGATACTTAGCCGGGGGGCTTACCAAAAGGGGCTTACCAAAGGGGCCTGAATCAGCGTCTTTCCCGTGGAGATCCCTAAGCAAAGTCGGCTGGTGACGATGATCGTCTCTGACGAACTCGAACCCGAGCTTAGCGAGGGACTCCTCGGTGACCACCGTCCTAATCTCGACAGCCCCCTCGCGGCAGAGTTTTTTCGTGTCAGCCAAAAGCTTGGCTGTCGTCAACAGTTGCTGGACACGACGAAATGAGGGATGCCCAAAGCCGGTAAAAGGAGACTCGAGCCCAGTTGAGACGAACAATGTAAGGAAGGAAAATGTAACTTACAGATGCACCTTCTCAAGATGTAAATGTACTCTTCGAGATGCTGGTTGACAAACAATAATGTGTTATTAGAAAACCAAGCAGTTAAGTATTAGTTTTATACTTATGTAAGGAAGGAAAATGTAACTTACAATATCTGCTATCCAAAAACCTAGAGTGAGCATATTAGTCTACCACTTTTTGACAAACCCTTCAACTTCCTTATGCCGATCGTGGTAACATTTTATATAGCGATGAGCTTTAATAGCTTCATTAATGGACCTCTTAAATTCCAAAAGTTCTGCCTTGCTGCCTTACTTGGGAGACCATTTTCTTTCTTTTTTCCTCCCATCTACAGTAAATGACGTTCTGCATTGCGCGAACCTTTTTCTCTAAATCTGACCCTAAAATTAAAAAAATTAATTAATTCAACTCAATTCGAATACTTCAACTCTTCTTTGATGATGATATGAAGATGAGATATATTACACCTTTCTCGACAAAAAGACTTCAACGAGATTTGTGATAGCAACAAGAACATCGGTTCTTTTGGGGAGAATCAACCTACAGACAAGTTCAAAAATAATTTACTTAATTGGAGTCCAAACAAAATTGTAAAAACATGCTCTCAATAAAAGTTCACATCGAGACTTTCTTACTCGCCATTTGGTTTTCCAAATCCAAAATAGAATATGAAATAGTTGGATTTGGATTCTCATTTTCCTGGTTGATTTCTTAAGCAATTTTGAGAATGCCAAGTGTTGTTGTAACCTAAAGAGTATGAAAGATTAAATGATTGTCTGATACTCTGATTTCATTTGACAACTTGATTAAACAAAATGAAATGGATATATTAAACCCAGAACCTTTTCAAACGATGAAGGATCGATTGTTACTTACGAGTAAACAAAATGTATATGACTATATAAGTCATGTAGTAATTTAACTCATATAACCTTTTCATTAGATGGAGCGGATGCTTCTTCCTTGAAGGATCACAAACGATAAAACCTTTAAAATCAGAATAATAAGAGTAAGACTTTATTCGACGACATTTCGACTTACCTCCAACAGAGTCTTCGTTGGTTCTTCGACTAATGCTGGTAGAGTAACCCTCAAATTTTAACATTACAAAGATTAGATTGGATTGCTATATTAATTCGATGACCTTTCGAAGGTTTTGAGTCCAATATTAAATCTTCGACTTACCTCGTTCACAGTTTTCTTTTGTTCTTCGACTACTTGAGTAACATCTGGGACAACAAATTGCCTTATTTTAGTTGTCAGAGCATCCATTTTTTTCCAATACTTCAAATCATTTTTCTTGTTGCAATGCTATCGATTTTCTTTGATAGTTGGTCAAAGAGTTTTTGCAATAGATTGGATGAAGGCATAGTGGGGGAAGGGAAATGGGACGATGGAGATGGGATGTTGGAAGGCAAGGATCTAGGAAGAGCGTCTCAAAAGCTTTGTGATGCTTGGTGAGAGGAGATGATGTGCTCATTTGGCTCCATAAAAATATCACACATCATAGCATGCTGAGCTTTCCTCTTTCTACCCACCGGAATGTGGACATCCCCTTTATCATCCAAGCAGGGTGTGTTGTGGTTTGTAGAGGATGGAAGTTCATAAACCACTCTACAGTAGCCTCAAACCTGCCAAGACAAAGATTGCTTTGTACAACCTGCAATCAAAACAACGACAATTTATTATCTTGAATTTTTAATCAATTTTGACCAATGTAACCATCAACCTCGGTGTGGGTGATTTTCTTCTTGATTGGAATTTCACCCCAAACGTAGATTTTTGGCCTAGTTGGGGATGTTTGTTGTCTTGTCCTTGTAATTTTGGTTGCAATCCCCAAGCAACTCTCTAAACAAGAATCTTTTCATATTCAAAGTTTGTTTCAATGAGATCACATTACAAATCAGTAAAACAATTTTTATAATTGAATAGTTTCTTACCCCAATAGGAAGCAAAAACCAATGTAATACATTGTTGATGAGGTCCCACTTCCCACTGATTTGGATTTAGTAGCTAGGTCCTTAGGTGACTCTAAGAACTCCATGAATGTCCAAGTTTGACATGGGAAATCTCTAACTGCTCTCCATTGTCCAATCATGCCTAGTATCCAATCTAGTATAGCGGACTTGTTGTAATCGGTAGGATCTAACAGAACAACAACCATAAATAAAAGTGTGGCCATTTTCACAGCCTCCATATGTTGGCATTCATTCTCTTCGTCGTCCAAGTCTTTACACATGTTCTAGAAATGCTGCACAACCATCTTGTATGTAACTGCAACAGAGTTCTTTCCCTTCTTTGCCGAAGAAAAGTGTGCTCGAATAAAATCTTTCTTGTCTGCGACCAAATCATTTGATGATTCGAAGCCGGCGTTTAGGTGAGAGCAGTCCGCTATAAGGGAAAACTTCATCAACAAGTACCAGAGTGGAACACGTTTAACAAACAAACACATCTCTCATCGTCTCTTTATTTTGTTTCCCTCGTAATGAGTTGCCATAAAAATAAAGGGGGAATAATACACTCAACATCCAAAAAATATGCAAAAGGGGTTTCTCCCAAAATAATTCCAATTGTGTGGGGTTGCACAAAAGGATTTAAGGATGCATTCCCAGTTCACCTAAATAATAACAACTCTAACTTTATCACGCTAATGATAACTTCTGAGTAATTATTTAGTCACAATAGAAATCATAATCATTTTATTGTATAAATATCTAATTTAAAGGTCTAAAAATATAAATCAATAATTATGTTCACTTGAAAGTTTTCAGTCCCTAACAAAGATAAAGAAGGCTTACCATATATTTTAAAAGTGTTCGACTTATGATTATGTCAATTTTAAGCACAATTTTGTTAACAAATATGTTTATAATAATGGTGTGCTTAAATATTAATCACAAATATTAAAGATTAATATTAAAAATATTCAAAACATTAAGATAGAAAATTAATTACAATAACTTCTAATACCAAAGAAGTTTAGAAGTTCATTGTTTGAAATTTAAACAAATAAATATTGTTTTTATTTGTTAAAAACATCATTTTTATTGTTAGAAATCATCTTTATATTGATCATAACTGATTGGTATCAAAAATAGGATTTTAGAGCTCAAAAATAACATTTTTAGAAATATTTCGGATCAGAATTTGGGGGATCGATCCATGCTAGAGAAGAAAACACCCAGGGGATCGATTCACCCCCCTGGATCGATCCTCTCTGCATTTTTTATTTTACTGTTCATCTTCTTCTACGTTAGGTCCAATTCTAAAAATACCATTTTTTGGTCACGAAACATCAATTAAACTATATAGAAATGTTGCCCAAGGTTCATGGATCATTTTAGTATCATTAATTAGTATTTTTAACATCAAATTCAAGGTTTATGATTCTTGGTTCTTCAAACATGTCAAATACAAATTTCAACCAAACGACCATTTATGAACGCATAAATGATCTATACGAACATTCTAGTCACTAGATTTATCTACGGGCTTACCTCGGAGTTTAACGAGGGTTTTGAGAATTTTCCGGCGAAACTTCCGGCGATGATTACTCTTAGCTCTGGCGACTTCACACCAAATTGACAGCACCACTACATTCTCTACACTCAAGGCTATGTCTCAGAGTTAATTTGAAGGAAAATGGTGAAGAAACGGGAAGGTTGGATTCCCTTATATAGAAGAAGAAGTGTAGAAGAAGACATGGGTGTGAGTTGTTGCTGCGTAGGATTCTCATTTTACGACCATCCTTTGGCGATAGTGCGACTTAAGGAGATTCAGCACGTTACTCCCTGATTGGGACTAATTTGGTCCCAGGGTACACTTTTTGGTCCAACTTTCTCCGAATTGAATTCTGTTTGAACCGTTGCAATTGGACAGTTAAACTCTATCCAACGATATAATTTTTATATTTATTTGTAATACTTTTTCTGACATATTTTTGGGTGTTTGACTTTGACAGAGTCAAAATTGATTTAGTTGACCTTTACTCAGAAAGGTTCTTACATTCCATTCATATTATTTATTCTCATGATTCATTTCAGTAAATTATTTCAAAGTTCACATCATAAATCAAATTATTTATTTATTCTTAATATGGACTTGTACTCAGGTTCCCAATCAAGATCACACAATAAGTCAACATTTTGGATTTATCTATACGAGATTTATCTAGATTGTGATATTGCATGTCAAAACATATTTCATTTCGGCCCAAAGCCCAACAACAATATATTTTAATCAAAACAAGTTTGATTAATTAAATAATTATTCATTATTAATTTGAATGTATGTTTTGGGGGTGTTACATTTCTTCCCCCCCCCTTAAAGGAATTTCGTCCTTGAAATTCTTATAAGGCTCCACGATCAACATCTTGTTGTATTTACGTTAATCATGACTGCGTCATGTTTATTCAGTTAAATCATGATTACGTCATTATCGATACAGATACGTATTCTCAATCGTTGATGTCATCAAACTTGCTCTATCAGTGGCGTGTGTGTATCACCAATTAAACTATAGCTCATATCTGATTGATACACAATATCTGCACTGAAGTAAACTCGTTCTTCTGCATTATTTCTTGACATCATATATTCGTTTACCGCTTCAACAACTTCCAACGTCAAAGCGAATATAGCATGTTCTTCTAAAACGTGGCTGTCAATAAATCCTCCACTTTCAGGATATATTTCTTTGACAATAGCATGAATGGGTTATTGCCATGTTCCACCAATAGGTATTTGGGAATTGGAATATCAACAACTTCATCATTTGGACCCCTAGCCCTCCCATCTCCAATACTTGCAATCAAATCTATGAAATCTTGCAAGTCGTTTAAATTTTGGCAGTCATTTGTTAAAAGGTGCATATTTTTTGTTAGCTTGAGAATGGTGCAATATTTCCACAAGTAAGATGAATTAATTGTAGCATGAACAATGTCTTCTCTTCTGCCTTTAAGAACAACTGGTAATATTTGTCTAAAACCTCCACCAAAAACAACCGTTTTTCCATCAAAAGGTTTGCGCTGACTATTAGGGTCGGAAACGCGAAGAATATCCCTTAAACTTCTATCCAAGGCTTCAAAGCATTATTTATGGTTCATTGGGGCCTCATCCCATATTATAAGAGCACTTGTAATCATGAGTGGAGCAAGAGGACTCCCTTGGTGAATATTGCACATTGACTCTTTAGTTGGAGTCAAGGGAATTTTAAACCTTGAATGTGCAGTTCTTCCTCCAGGCAAGAGCAAAGATGCAATACCACTCGATGCGACATTCAAAACAATTTCTCCCTTTGAACATAGTGCTGCCGATTATGTTTTCCACAAAAAAAGTTTTTCTAGTGCCTCTGTATCCATAGACAAAAAACATTTTACCACCTTTGGCTAGTACGACTTCTATAATGATAGAGTACACATTGTGTTGTTCAATATTCATTTGAGATAGCACCCTTGCATGTTCTTCAAGCAATGCTCTTTTATCGTAGCACAATTCATCATTTATAAGTCTGTTTTCAAACATTTGAATGTATTGAGCACCGGGATATGACATGTTATGGAACTCTTTCAAACTCTTTCCAAAACTACGTAACTAAGATTCAATCTATGCAAGGGCATAGTTTTTAATTTCAACTTTTGAAAGGCGCAAACTTACATTAAAAAAAGTACTTATATAAGGTATTATTTTAGTAGGATTAAAAAAATGACATGATTAATATTATGTACCGGGATAATGCAAGACTGCATGTTGCCGATAAAGAATATCATCTGACAAATAAGTCTAACATATTTCCCAAACATCCTCAGGTCGTACTAAACACCGTGATGCCAAAAGAGTGGCAAATAAATTTCGTAAAGATCTTTCGGATGACCAATTGCTAGCCTCATTAATGGCATCAATATATTCCTTGTCATCGTCTACCAAACCTAGGGCACAACATGCGTCACGAAATGTTGAATAAACACTGTCGTTGACAGTTCTAATATCCTCGAAGCTACGTGGATCTCTGACTAAATTAAAAAGACATCGTAAATAATATACTTCTTTAGAAGTTGGTGGAACATAGTACATTCGACCAATTGAAAATCTTTTTTTACGGGGCACCCACGTCCTTTCATCCTTTTTCCAAACAAACTTCGCTGGGAATTCAGCATTATCTTTTTTTTATGAATTTAATATAGTTGAAAATAGTTAAAAATAAAAATTTGATATTTCAAAACTATATTTAAAAAAAAAACCTAGATTTACTAAATTTATGATATAACTAAATATACTTTTTTCATAATTTTCGTTCAGAGTGCCACAGTTTATCAAAAAAATTAAACTGTAGTAATTTTTTAGGAATGGAGAAGGTATCTAATTACATCAACATTATTTTTATAAATTACATTGGTATTACAATTTACCTAGTGCTAGTTTTATCGGTGCAACTGATCACGACACACTAAAAAGTGGAGCCCATTATTATTAAGCCTAAGGAAATGTTTGAAGAGAACTCTTAACAAAATGTGAAAGGCGTCTATGTAAACAATATTAGTAGTTGCGTAGGTAGTTTGTCTTCGTTGCAAGTTAAAATATTTCGGACATGTTTGGGAATAGCGTTAGCGTTTTGAAAAGGCTATCTACGAGCAGCGTTTAGCGTTAGCATTTTCAAAGTAATCTGTCACTTTGGACATTCGGGCCGGGTATAAGTTATACTCATCAAGGAGTTCTCCACTTACCGGTATTGTGTGGAATCATCAAGGGCGGGAAGTATATTTGTGTTGGCCCGTCACTTTTGGAATTATCATGTACCTTTCTTGACCTGTCATTTTTGGAAACATAAGTCTTCCTCTCGGACCTGTCACCTAGTAAAATCATCAAGTTTTTCTCTCAAACTTATCACTTTTGAAATCATCAAGTCTTCTCCTCGGAACTGTCATTTTTGAAATTTTCAAGCCTTCCTCTCGGACCTGTCACTTTTGAAATCATCAAGTCTTCTTCTCAGACCTGTCCCTTTGATTCGAGTAGTCTAAGCATCAAACCTGGCGCTCTGAAGTTTCCCCCAAGCCTGGAAATTTCAATTTTTCCCCCAAGCCTGGCGCTTTGAAGTTTCCCCCTAAGCCAGGAAATTTGAATTTTCCCCCCAAGCCTGGCGCCTTGAAGTTTCCCCCAAGCATGGAAAGTTGAATTTTTCCCCAAGCGCTTTGAAGTTCCCCCAAAACCCTTCACCTTCTGAATTCAAATATCAAATGTTTCCCTCTCATCATTACGCCCTACACGTGTCAAGTCCTCAGCCTTTCACCTGTCGTCTCGTATTCCGGCCCAACTCCTTCCCTCTTATAAATACTCCTTCAACCCACTCCATTTCTTCACTTCTCTTCTTCGCTTCTCGAACTTCAACCGGTCTGCTTTCTCTCTCTAGCTTCTTGCCAAGTAAGTTGCCCAGTCCTCCTAGTCTTTATTCTTTCAATCTTTCCATCCTTGACCGGTAGGCTAGTGCTATGTCGTCCTCTAACGATAGTCAAAATGTGTCTGGCCAATCCTATGGGTCGGGCTCTCAGCCCTCCTCATCTGCCCAGTCTGATTCATCTTCTCCCCCTCCCACTCCTCTAATCCGTCGCTCCTCCCAAAAGCCTAGCTCTTAGGCCCGGGAAATAGTTGTCCAGGAGCCTGTTCCCTTAAACCGAATGCCCGATCGGTTTAACTCAAAGGTCCACACCTGGGAGGAATGGGAAGAGCGGCTGGGATCAATGAGCTTCCTAGCCATTGATATCAGACTGGTATTCAAAACATCTTCCAAGGTCACTAAAAAGGTTTTGGCTGATCTGCTCTTTTCTCCCATCGGGCTACATCCTCCCTTCCAAAACCGTGTGGCCTAATATAGTAGAACCCCATCAAGGAACCCGGTTGGGTTTCCATATTGCTTCTCTGGAGGGTGGTATAATTTTCCCCCTTCGTCCCCTCCTTATCGAAATCTGTAACAAGTTTCGCGTGTTACCCGGTCAGCTCACTCCTAATGCCCACCAGTTCTTAAATTGTTTTGTCAATATCTGCGATTCTCTAAAAATCAAACCTTCCCTCCAACTCTTCCTTCATATGTTTGATGTCTTGCCCGGGGGTACTAATTGCCCAGACTTAATTTACTTCCACTCCCGTAACAAGAGAGGATTTGTGACCGGTCTTCCCCCAAGTCATAA